GTATAGTGTTGGAAGGAAGCGAACGTGTGTGTATGCGCGCGCGCGTGCGTGCGCGAGGGAGAGTGCGAGAGGAGAAAAAGATATTTGAGCGGGAGACCGTAGGACGAGGAGACGAGAGAGAGAGAGAGAGAGAGAGAGAGAGAGAGAGAGAGAGTGTGCGTGTGCGGGTGCGTGTGCGTGTGCGTGTGCGTGTGCGTGTGTGTGTGCATTTTATCACATATATACTAGAGATTATAATTTTATAAGGAAGTATATTTCAGCCGTCGGCAGTAAAATTGTTCGTCTAGTACGAAAACAGGCCATCGCTACGATAGCAAAACGACGCGCTCTCTGTCGTGAAAACCCGTATAGATTAAGTTTGCAGCTTTTTTGTCATCAGCTGTTCCGTGCGCCATAAAGCGTCTAATAACAAGTAAGATAGTTTAAATGGCTGTAAAATATTTCCAAATTACGCTCAAATTGTTTTTGTTTTGTGGCGCTGATAATGTGGGTTGTAACAGTGTTCTTTTTAATTGCAAAATTGATACATTCATTAAAGACATGTACCCGTAGTCACACCCTCCTTCCATTTCAAAATCCTAAATCCGCTCTTGGACACAATATTGCTGCTATGCTGTTTTCTACAAGTGTTTCAAGATACACTTCTAAAGAAATCGTGCGGTTTATTGCATTTGGCAAGTGTTTTCCTAAATGTGGTGACAGAGAAAAGTGTCGTTATGTCAATACTGCTATCCGCCGATGCCGACCCAAGTGTTATGAGTTTCGATCCCGCTAGTTCTCACTAAAACATTACTGTAAATTAATGATCTCTGTACAGTAATTCTTCCACCCCTCCATAATGACATTTCTCCCTAAACAAAAGAGCAGCGACGCACCTAAGTGACGTCATCGCCATGTTGTATAATTAGCCGTGTATTAATCAAAGTGATGGAATTGATACGCGCTGTCAAATGAACATGCCGTCGTATTCCCGCATCATAGCCGTCAGCTGCAAGTTGAGGCAGCAGCCAGCATCCTTATATGGACAGTAAATGGGTAGCTTTAAAGTGGGCTTCTCGAATTGTAAGCTCGGGTAAATTGGCTGTGTAAGCTAGTTAGAGTATAATGATTTTTATCGTAGCAGGGAACGTTCAGGGCGTCGTCCCGCATTAGTTCCCATAGTGTGGAAATAACGACGCAGCGATCCGAGAATAGCTCTCAACGCTTCCCACGGGAATGGTTTGCCGCGGGGAGTGAAGCCATTTCAACGCTACCAGGTCCTTGCCAGCATAGTAATCAGCCTGTGATCTGTACTAGGTGTTTAAGTGTGTCCATGGCCGGTGTGGCGTCAATATCGTGCAATAACATAGCTCTAGTACTATAGCCCTTGTTGCCACAGGTGCCGGTTTACTTGGATAATTACTTTAATTAATTTTAATTAATTGACTTGCACATTAATTGGGTTATTAAGCGACAAGACAACAAGGGCTATAGTGCTAGAGCTAGCAACGGCTAGTGCTGTACGCGTGTTCAGCGATGGCGTGGGTGACGCATGTGAATCTGGTGGCTGTACATGCATAGAGCCTCTTCCCCAGGATCACGAAAAGGTCGAAACCGGTTCGCATTTCTAATATTTAATGATATAGCGTACATTAGCGATAAGTGAAATACCAAGACAACACAAGGCAGTATCTGCGGCTAGTCTGGCAAGTCCGATCACCGTGTCTGCTCAATATAACTATAGCGTAAAGTATATAGTAACGTTGTATGTCCAGGAACTCACATAAAAGGCTGAGATCAACTCGCTCACGGTTGCTGTATTGAGATCCTGGGGACAACATAGAATGTAATAACGTCATTGAATAGAATTCTGGGGCGATACTCAAACGCTTCGTGCGTTTTGAGTGAGAACACTTCTCTTCCGCGTGAGAAGCGCTGAACTATCATCAACATGTACTTGTGCTTATCAAGTGATTCCGTCAGTGGCCCTAATATGGCAATATGGAAATTCGAGAATGTATCTGCTATCGGCAGGGATGTCAGCGGTGTGGAACGTGCATTTGTTAGACGTGTTACTCACTGTCACTTGCCACAATGGCGTATGCGATTCTCATTTTCACGATACGTCTTTGGCTAGTAATATTTCTACCGAAATGATGTCTCAAATGATTTAGTGTGCCCCATGTGACACCAAACTGCACGTGATTCATGATGAAACCGCGAAACATCCTGTCGAAGAGCTAAGGGCAAAACTATCTGGAGGATCATAAATGATTGCGGTACCATACCTGCATACACTCTCAGTTGGAAGAGGTTGAACCCTATTTTGATCTAGAACACATCGGCTACTCTCAACAACGAGTTTCCTAGCTGTCGCTGTATCGTTAGGAAGTATTCAAACACTCCGACATGCGACAATTGGGATCACGCGGCTTCGTGTGTGCAATGTTATGAATACTACTGGGACTATTCTGCATGAGTCCACCAGTGAGTGAACGCTACTGCTACTGCTACTGCTACTGCTGCTGCTACTGCTACTGCTACTGCTACTGCTACTGCTACTGCTACTGCTACTGCTACTGCTGCTGCTGCTGCTACTGCTACTGCTACTGCTACTGCTACTGCTACTGCTACTTCTACTTGTGTGCAGACGTCCCAAGTGTCCCGGTCTCACCGGGATCGTCCCGGTGCGACATGCTGGTCCCGGTGCCCCGTTAAGAGTCCAGAAAGTCCCGGTCGCAACATTTTTCAGCCATATTTTAAAATTTACATCAGTAAATTACTAAATTTGCCGTAGTTGTTGATGTACTTTAATTCCAGCGAACAATAAAAGGCCACAAATGTATACTTTATGTTTATTTTACAAGTATACTTTATAAAAAAAAATGGTGGTGCGCCGCGACAATCACATGTCGCAGCCCGCCACAACTTTTTTCCTGTTTTTGCGCACCGCGAAAAAACGGTGATGGACCATTATCACAAGTGATCCCTTTCTTGGATTTTCCCAACTTGGGACCTCTGCTGTGTGTGTGTGTGTGTGCGTGTGCGCGTGCGTGCGTGTGCGCGTGCGTGCGTGCGTGCGCGCGTGTGTGTACGTGCGGGCGTGCGCGAGAGAGAGGGGAGAGATATTTGAGCGGGAGACCTAGGATGAGGAGCCGAGTAAAGTGGAGGCGAGACATCGATAGCGTTGTGTGCAGATAGCGATGAATTAAGGAATGGCGCGGAAGAGAGAAGTTTGTGAACGGCAAACTCTATCTTTTGTGAGTATGTACAGAGTAGCGTGCTTGCAAAAGAAGCTTACCGCTATGGTTGGCCATCGCAATCAGAAATAATTTTACTGCGCGGTTTGCGGTTAAATCAAGTGTAACAATGTCTCTGGTTGAATAAAAAGGGTTATAATTTTACCATGGGAATTTTAACCTTTACAGTCTTGTTAAGGAGTACTAATAGTACTACTATTGAAGGCCAAAAATATCAGGAGTGAATAATAGAGTAATATTGATAATATGTAATCTCCTGATAATATGTAACACGGCTCATGGTTATTTATCAGCTTATGATTATTATCGTTATTAGTGATATTTTATCAGCGGTAAAAAAATGCCGAGTGGCATCTAGTGCCAATTTAAAAAATGCCACCAATACGAAAACAAAACTGATAGACGGCCTGCATGTTCAGAGGATAGATATGCTCATGATATAAGAGCATTAGCAGCAAAAATAGACGAAATAATCATCACCTGCTTAAGATTGCTCCTCCCTCGACGTATATTCTACGTGCGTTACTTCTAAAGAAGGCACGAAAAGATTAACTATCCCCTCAGAATGATATTATAATTATTGCAACGCAACAAGATTATCAAGTCATTAGTACTCATTACACTTAAGGATCATGGCAGTAAGGGATAGGCGGTATCAGTTCAGTTTCACATAAACACCACAAATATAGTTGTCAGCTGAATATGCGATACACCAACAATTCATTTTTTTAAATTGTGGCAAAAAATTATTTATTCATAATTACAATACATCACTTGATCACCGGATATGTCACCAAATGGTCACTTAATCACAAAACATGGAAGCTTGAACATGTCACCATATACTTAATATCGTCAACAACTTAGAGAATAAAACTTATATATCGACATCATAGGACCAGCTTACATGTGAACATCAGTTTGCATGATAATAATTAGTTTAACTGTAAAGCTGGTAAAATGACGTGCCTGTGTTTCAACACGAAAACACATGGAATTTTCAGAGATAATCCCCAGCATTCAAAGTTTGCGCTTAAATTTACCCACATTGCACTCGTCACCGTTATCACGGCTTTGAAAATACGAAAGACAAAGCACCAAGTACAAGACAAACGACAATGTGGTGTTTAAACGACAAATATGAAAGTTACCTCTGATTACAAGAGAATAACCTAACATATGTAATATCTAGGACCCTCACATTATTTGTTCTTTATTAGTGACATCATTTTACGTAATAAAAATTGGTCACAATAAGGTCAAACGATGTCACATGCACTATTTCTCACACAGTTTTATCAAATTCAAAGTCTAACCATGATTGAAGAATTTTAAACAAACAGCCAAGTCTTAATAATCAAATTAGAATATCCGTACATGATAATCTATTGAACCATAACCTGCGACCTGATACGATCTTAGAAACCAATATAGTGCACCTAACTAAGTATAAGCTCCATTTCAGCACCATTTCAGTAGTGGGCATGACTCATCTCGTCTGGACATCATTATAAATCTGAATACTGGTCATGGTACTATTACCTTAATAGCTCTGGCAAGGAGGCCACCAACGTGGACAATAACAATATCCTTACCATAGCCCACTACATTACGGCGACGAGACCGAGGATAGACAATTACCGTATATGATCGCGTAATAACCGCGGGCGCCTACAAGCCGCACCTCAATTTGAATCGGCTAACCAAGTATTGCGCCTAGTATAGTTCCCCTCACGGTATGGCGCACTTATAAACCGCAGAGCAAATACAGGGTTGAAATCTGAGGCCAAATTTGCGGTTATTACGCGAGTATATACGGTACACTACCACTACCATAACGACCACGACAATGCCGCCACCAATGGCTCAATATCGTATCGGTAACATCATCGTCTTGGCAACCCCACAGCTAACGGGCGATCACCGACTCGTTACCGTACATGCGAAGGCACCGCCAACAGACAATTACACCACCGCTACCAAAACAACCACGACAATGACGCCACTGCGATTACGATACCGGTAACATTATCGTCATAGCAACGCCACAGCCAGTGTAGCCACCACAGTACAGCAACGACACGACACCACCACCAGACAATTATACTACCGCTACCACAACCGCTACGACAACGGCTCGTTATGGTACCGGTAACATTATCGTGATAGCAACGCCACAGTCGATCACCGACTACACCAACGGCAACGACGCCGGTGAGAGACGTCGCCGATGGCAACGACGTCGCCGACGGCAACGACGCCGATAAAAAACGTCGCCGGCGGCAACGACGTCGGCCATTGTTACCACTCCTTCTTCCTCTCGTCAAAGCTGACGCCACCGGGACCGAGCGAGACTACAAGCAGCAAGCCGCCGATGACTGACAGCGTCTGGAAGAAGTCGTACTTGAGGAAGTCACGCACAGCATGCGAGGCGGAGATGCGCCACCACGGGTGCGCGTACACGTTGAACGCCGCCAGCCACGCGACCAACACAAGAGCAGTCAGCTTCGTCTTGAACCCGACGGCGACGAGGAGGATCAGCGCGGTTCCGAGAACGTTCTGAGCGATCTGCGGCGCCGTCGCTTCAAGCCGCACGAGGGAGAGAAACATCAGGACGAGAAGCACGCGTCCGGCTAGCTGCAGGTAGGTCTTCGGACGGTTCGTGGCGAGCGTGGGAACGCCGGCGAACATGCTCCGCTTCGTCTCGTCCTTGCTCTCCGCTAGCACAAGGATGAGCCCGCCCGCCAGCGCCAGGTTCCTGTGGAGCGAGGGAACGATGACACCAGGGGGCGCCGCACCGTATCGTGAGTAAATACGCGAAAGTTAACGTTGGGTCTGCAGAGAGGGAACGAGGACACCAGGGGGCGCCGCACCGTATCGCGAGTAAATACGTGAATAGTTAACGTTGAGTCTTCGGAGGGAGCGAGGACACCAGGGGGCGCCACAGCGCATAATAAGTAAATAAGCGAATAGTTAACGTTGGGTTTCCAGACTCGATATGGAAGACGTAGCAATCTAGTTGACTCCTGCCAATTATTGTTAGTGACGTTCATCATTTTGCATGTACATTGTCAGTTGAAGAGATTTTTTTGCTTAATTCTGAGCATTTCTAACATTTCATGACATATATAGCTAATAAAAACAGGCGACAGATGAGAGACTAAACCAGTGAAAAAAATACACGGGGGCTCGGGGCGATTTAGCCCCCCGAAATGCCAAAAAGAGCACCGGAAATGTCAAAAAGAGCCCCGGAAATGTCAAAAAGAGCCCCCGGAAATTTGCATAGAGTTCAATGCAAACCAAATTTTAAAGTGCTATTTTCATGCACGCGAGCTTGAAAAGTAGCCCGTGAAATTTTTTTTTTAATTTTTCCCCTGGACTAAACTAACCAATACATACCGACAGAGGAAGGTGCCTTCCCACAGTATTCTGTATGCTATCGTCTGTGAAACAAGAAAATAATTTTAAGCAACTAGTGTATTATCATGAGTCTATAAATAGATCTATCTAATCTATTGATAGACTCCTGGTATTATTACCACGTTGACTACACAATGCTCGCTGTGTGCTGAACAATGAGTTGTGTCCATATGCGGATTATCATAAGTAAATTTCCGCCCTCACATACATACCTGAAGTAGAATTAAAGCTCCTAGAATGCCACAGCCCCACGCTACTTTCACCCTACACAGAATCATCACACATCCTGACAATTGGCCAACCAGGTTGACAATCACAAAGGCATTTGCGACGAAAGCGCCACACCCCCAGGTGGCGCTCATGTAGTCGGCTTGTAGACGCCACTGGAACCACATGCGAAAACCGTCCTCCAAGAATGTACTGATCAGACATAGGCGAGCGAGATGCGGAAGAATCACCTTACTCTTTCTCAAAACCTGCATTCATAGAATAAATTAGCAATGCACCTCACAAATCACACAATATATATATATGTATATATAAATTACAAAAAGAATTTAGAAAAATTAAATGTACAGAGCAAATTAATACTTAAGGCATCTGGAGTCAAATACTTCCCGATCTACGGCTGGATGCTTAGTTTGACAAATGCCGGAGTCTGGTCAATGCACTAAAAATACCGTCTGAATGTCTTAATAAGTTAATAGTAGCTATATATTTTATACTAGCTTGACCCATGTAGGACTTTGTCCTGCCAGTTTAGTACAACACATCTAATGTAACTTTTGTGTATTCTAAAGAAAAAATATTATGTTTTGTGCCAAAGATTGTTCAGTTAAATTTTGATATAGAATTTGCAACATACAACACATAGTGAACGTACAATCCAGGATTTTGAGATAGGGAGGGGGAACGCAAGTGCGTACAGGATTTCATTTTAGGGGGTGGGGATTTTGCGATAGCGCCGGTGCACACACTTCGCATGCCAATTAAGGGGGGGGGCAAAAAATAAGGGGGGCATGCGTCTTGCACCCCCCTTGGATCCGCCACTGACACATGCCTGTCAGAACTGTTTTCAGGACAGGACACAAAGAATTCAAGGATAGGATGTGAGAACGAATACTCCGGCCCCCACCCCCTTGAACAATCACCACGCCGGCAATTAACCTCTGGACAATAACAGTAACACCATGGAGAATTCCCCTCTTGACAATTACTTCCCGAATATTCAACACCCCTGACATCACCTGATACCATTCACCCCCAAGGACAATTACCCAATGTCATGCATCCCCAAAGACAATTAGAATTACCCAAATGTTGCGAGTACTAACAACATGTCAGTAACATATGTGCTTGTAGTTGTAATACTTTTTGCATACAGCTAATAGTAGTACTAGCAATAGTCAAACTCCATACTCGTCAACACAAACGGAAAAACATTATTGTAACACTATTATTTGATATCTCGTGATTATAATGAGCTATAATACTTATAGAAATTTATTAGTTATCATAATTAAAAATTGATCCAAAGTTGAACTTGTGGCTTGTGCCATTTTGCTCAAATTCCTCATTGCGACGTCACGTGACTACTATCGCTACTACTAGTACTAGTAGTTATCTAAAATCTTGAATTTGAAATGTGTGTGCAAGACCTAACACACTACCTGCAAATAGCACTAAAGGTAACATCAACATGTAATAGTAATAATAGACTAATTATTATGTTTTTGGTATAATGACAATGTATTGACTATTGTAATTTGTATACAGGTTCAGCCATCATAAAATTACAAGTCATGTGACATAAACAAATATTATTGTAATTTGTACTTTTAATCACTTTTGATACATGACAATGATCCACACAAATCTTACGTTATCAGCAATATCTTCTGCTTTGTTTAGCCATCGACTTGATGTTGTCGATTGATTCTGCATCATTACTTAGATTGCAAAACAGTAAGTTCAGTGTTCATGCACTGAGTTCATGCTTCAACTTTTTACGACACCCGTACATCCAAACTCAACGACAGATGGCGCAGCTGGCGCTCTCGCTCTCGCTCCACTGCTTAGACTGGTACCCGTTTGCCACCTTCACTCCGGCATATATCCTTCGCTACACTGACCACACTGACTCACAGAAATAGAATAGAAGCACTGACTTCGCTGTTAGTGTAGCGTGTGGAACTGTCGACCGGGTACCAGTCTATTCACTGCTCTGCCCTGCCACTGCCAGTACAGTTAGGTCAGGATACTATCAAAATCATTCAAATTGTGAGAAAAGTGTGAAAATTGGTACACCTGCAAACTTTTG